GTAAAAAAAATAAATAAAAAAAAAACGTTTTATTTAAGTAAAGAAGATTTTGTAATTTTGGGGGTTATTATTCAATAATTCCACGACTTAGATGCACATTACAGACTAATTGATTGAAATTATACAGTTTGAATTCACAGTGTTGCTATTATGACATTGTCAATAAAATATTGCACACGTCAATATGCTATGTAATTCATAGTATAAATGTACTGTTCATATTAATCTTTTACCAAGATTCTGCTTTGTCTGTCATTAGTTATTCACTTATTCAGCTAAACTGTCATAACAGAAATTTAAATAGATCAGATGATATATTATTATACATTAATGACAGTTAGAAAATATAAAAATAATAAGAATATATAGGTAATAAGTAGTAAGTATGGCCAGATGGACATTTTTGAATAATGTTACATTTTGTGTTATGACAACTAAATTAGCAAATGTTTATATTTATATTCCTTCATAACACATTTGCTGATGCATCATCATCATCATCATCATCATCATCCTACACATGGTAAACTTATATCTAAATATGTTACAGTTTAAAAATAAATGCACATTATCTTGCTCCTTCATACCCTAATATTGATGGTTTTTCATTTAGATAGTGTATTATACGTATCTTCTACTGAAGCTCTAAATTACCATATTTTTATGATGTGGCTATGCAAATAGACGTCATTTGATTACTAGAAGAACATTTTGTCTGATGTTACTTCTTCTCTTTAGATAACCAGATGGAGAGAGATGGAAGCTCCCGCATGCCACCTCCACCGGACGTGCATGTATCTCCTGCAGATGAGTGTGTCGGCTCTGACGAGACCCAACAACAGAGTTTGGGTCGATCAGATAGGGCTCAGGATAAGAATGACACCCAGATCCATGCTGCTCTTCCTGATGGGACCTCTGCCACCCTCAGAGGGACACCCACTTCTTCCAGCACTAAACTATGTGGCTACCTCAACAAGCAGGGTGGACCCCTCAAAGCCTGGAAGTCCCGCTGGTTTGTCTACGAGGAGAAGAGCTGTCAGCTGTTTTACTACCGTATGGCACAGGATATCAATCCTCTGGGTAAGGTGGATCTGTCTCGTGCCACGTTCAGTTACCCGCTGCAGGGAGAGGAAGGAACCTTTCACATACAGACACCAGAGCGCACTGTCATTCTCAAGGTAATGTAATCACATGGTTTGAAATAACATATTTAAAAAAAAATTTGAATTGTGAAGCAACAAAGGGCGACAAACTTGGGATAGGTTGGTACAGTAATTGTGAAAAAATCACTTAGATGAACATGACAACTATAGATTATTTTACATGATTGTTTATATGAAGAAACGTAAGTCTATTTCAGTACTGTTATTGTTAACTAAATATATTAAAAAATATTTTATTTAACTAAATGAAATAAAATAAAATTTAAACATTAGATAAAACTTGAAGGAAAATTAGAAATGCTGCCTTGGTTACTTACTGAAGTTTAAACTAAAGCTGAAAATAAATGAATATTAAATATAATATTGTAGTACTTTATATATTACAAAAAGTAAAACTAATAAAAATGAGAACAGCGCATAACAATTACTAAAACTTAAACAAATTGACAGTATTTTCAAGAAATTGAAGCACAAATCTGTATTGTCAGAATTTGTCTGTGCATTTAACTTTGTAGTAGTTTGTAAGTCTCATTGTCCTGAAAGTTGATTCTCATTAAAGACTACTTTTAGTTTTATTACTTAAAGGGATAGTTCACACAAAAATGAAAATTCTGTCATGTTGTTCCAAACCCGTAATACCTTCATTCATCTTCCGACCACAGATTAAGATATTTTTGATGAAATCCAACAGCTTTCTGACCTTGCATAGACAGCCAGGGAACTACCACATTCAGGGCCCAGAAAGGTAGTAAGGGCATCATTAAAATAATCTGTTAAATAGTTTAAATAGTAATTAATGACTGAATGTAAATTTTTGGGTTAACTATCCCTTTAAATGAGCATACTGTACATTGAAGACAATACATCAAATACTATGATTATGTATAAACACTTAACTATTTAATTATTTATTTAACCCACAGTAATGAGCATTGGAAGGAGTATGTGCTTCATTGCAACAATATTGAATAAATGCCAATGTGACTGGGAATTTTTTTATGGCAGTTAGGTTCTAAAGGTCAGTTGCTTTTCAAAAACGAGATTGTAGGGTATATAAATGGGGGAGGAATCTAAACCTTTCTTTCTTTCTTTCTTTCTTTCTTTCTTTCTTTCTTTCTTTAAAATGGAACAGTGATCACATGACTGCACTTCATATTACACGCACCACATACTAGAGTATCAACAGAGAGAAAACGCTGCTGGCTGTACACATTTCGATAAAGTGTAAAGTTCTGATTAGTGGTCATTGATTGATATGTTTTTTTCTTAATTCTTAAAATACGATCACCCTCGAGTTTCTCTTTTGACTGTTACACATTAGGGTTACATATGGAGGAATAACAGTCAAGCATCTTGAGTAAGACAACAATACTTTCCTCTCAACAGTCTTCAAACATGATTTTGTTTTTAGGCAGCTAACAGGGATGCCCAGATGTACTGGTTGCAGCAGCTGCAGTTGAAACGTACATTACACAGGGAGCAGCATGCTGAACATAAGTCCATATCCAAACCAGACAACCACAAATTGGAAAGCACCCCATCAGCAAACAACTGCCGTGGTAAGAGCCTATACATCTTAGTAATAATGAAACTCGGCATTGCTTACATGGAAACTGAAAAACATTTACTGCATTATGGAAATTACACTGTTTATGAAATATGATTAGAGGGTGAATGCACTTAATTTTTCCAAGTAAAGTTCAGTTGTTTGGCCAGTCATGTGATACAAAGTTAATAGAAAGTGAAAGATGATCAGAACCAGTCAGATCTTGAGGACTATTCCAGAATGCTTGGAATCTGTGCACCAAAATAGTGTTTTAACTGACTGGTTCTATTGAGAAAGGAGTTCCTTCAACTTCAAACTGGTAAGATAGTAATGAAAAAAAGATGATAAATGAAATTTCAAAATGTTGCCTTAAAAGTAAGTAGTAAAAATGTCAAAAGCACTTAACAATGAACAAAAAATTTAATAAATACTATAATGGTATGTACAGTGCTGCTTGAAAGTTTGTGAACCCTTTAGAACTTTCTATATTTCTGCATAAATATAACCCAAAACATAATTAGATTTTCACACAAATCCTGAAAGTAGACAAAGAGAATCCAATCAAACAAAGGAGACAAAAATATGTACTTTGTCATTTATTTATTGAGAAAAATTATCTGGTGTTAAATATTTGTGAGTGGCAAAAGTATGTGAATCTTTGCTTTCAGTATCTGATGTGACCCCATTTTGCAGCAATAAGTGCAAGTAACGTTTCTTGTAACTGCTGATCAGTCCTGCACAACGGCTTGTAGGAATTTTAGCCCATTCCTCAGTACAGAACCACTTCAACTCTGTGATGTTGGTGGGTTTTCTCCTATGAACTGCTTGCTTCAGGTCCTTCCACAAAATTTCAATAGGATTAAGGTCCGGAATTTGACTCAGTCATTCCAAAACATTAACTTTGTCCTTCTTTAACCATTCTTTGGTAGAAC